CAAGCGAGCGCACAGCGAGCGCTCGTGTGTCGTTCAGGAGGCGCTGCGTTCGTTCGTCGAGCGCTCGCTCTCCTGAGGCGTGTTATGCTCGCGAGCGCAGTGTCGTTCAGAAGGCGAGCGCTCGCGAGCGCTCGCGAGCGTTCGGTCTCCTGAACACGCCTCTGAACACGCCTCTGGTACCAGTATGATTGAAGCATCTATCTATCTATCTACTATCTAGCGAAACCACAGCCAAGGGAACGGGCTTGGCGAAATTAGCTGTTAGATGTTGTCACACGAACAAATATTAAAAATTCATTTCTAAAAAATGCAAACTAGATGTAAACACAGCGTCAATCATCATAACATAAAATGTCATAATATCTTTGAACTTACTTCTTGCGCCATGTTGAAATCGCCGCTAATACGTGCACAGATACATGTGACGGCTAACATAATTTGACCATATAGTACGATATTTAGTTGAATAATAAATACATGGGAAAATTATAATAATTATTATTTGTTGTGATCGTGATTTGTCTACGTACGTGTTTGCGGTTTTTCTACAGTCGGCAATACACTTTATTATCTCCACAAAGAGGTAGTCATGGCGGACAGAGAAAGCAATGGTGATGATCACCGGTCTCATTCAGATGGCGAGGGTGAAGGTAACGCAATGAAATAGCGACCCGTAGCTATGCTGTGTTGGAAATTATTGGCTTTATAATTAGATTTACGTATTTTTGTCTGACCCACAGTGATCTGTCTTATCCCAGTAAGTCTCACCCAGCACTGTTAATGTTATTCTCTGCACTCTCACAGAGTCGTGGTTTGTTTGTTGACAACGCCACGGTTTGTCACAGATAAGGGTTAGATTCTTAGACCAACCTCTAGACACTGTACTGACACTGCGGTTCAATCTTCAAAATCAAAGCTCCCTGTAGAATCATGTACGCAGTCTATTTCAGACTCGTGTAGAGCTTGCTAATCACAGCATTCGTATCGTGTATTCTAGTTAGTAGGCCCTAGTTAGTTACCGGTACGCGGTAGTTAAGCCACTTAGGGATAATGGGTAGGTAGTAATACTAATACCGTAATAGGCCTAGCCTGTGTCACCCATATCCGGCGATTTCATGAATCGGTCGATTCTGGCCTTAAATTTGTTAGTTGTGGTAGCTGCAACTGCACTTTGTGGCAGTTTATTCCAGTGTTGCATCACTCTCTGGCTGAAAAAGTTTTGCAGTGGCTACGCGTCCGGAACCGGTCGCCTAGCCTTCAGGCTACGCATCCGGACATCCACTCACACAGTGATCGCGCGACTTGTGTACATGCACGCATGGTTGCGCAATGAAACGCTCTGCTGATTGCCGTAAATATACAATATATGCACTGCTTCCATCTATTCTTTCATCTGTCCTCTCTTGCTCTCTCTCTTTCACACACACACATGCACAGCTCTCTCTCTCTCTCTCTAGCTCTTTCTTTCTCTCTCTCTCTCTCTCTCTCTCTCTCTCTCACACACATACACACACACATACTGATTCCCGCTCTCTCTCTCTCTCTCTTTCACGCACACACACACACACACACTCGGCAATCAGCAGAGCGTCCTGTTGCGCAATCATGCGTGTACGTGTTGCAAGATCACTGTGTGAGATAGATGTCCGGACGCGTAGCCTAGCGGCTCCTCGTTCAAAACCGGTCGCGTAGCCACGGCCAAAAGGTTTTGTCGCACGTGGAGTCTGGACCGTTGTTTATATAATTTTATGTTATTTCCTCTTAGTGATGTTGTTGAGGCTGGACAAAAGAAAGTGTTTGGGTTCAAGTTTATCTTTCCCTGTCATGATTTTGTATATTATCTATGAAATTAATTTATGCTCAGGTTCCGACGTCGGCTCACCCGGCTCGCAATCGTCCGCGGCTGCGGGTCACAGCGGCGACAACCCCTCACCTCCCGGCTCACCAATGAGCGGTGCGGGGTCAGCAGCAAGTGGGTCGACCCCCAGGTCACAGGGTCACAGCGGCTCCAGTCCTGGGTCGCCACGGAGCGGGTCGGGGTCAGCTCAGGGGTCGCCGCGAAGTGGGTCGGAGTCTGGTGAGTGAGCGTAGGGACGCGCTGCGATGATAGATACGCCACGGGTTGTTTGTGGTGGAAACGCTCCCCGCATCGCTGCGATTTGCAAGTTTTTTCGTTAGTGAGTTTACGAATTTAGTGATCTGTAATCAGCGTGAAATGTTTTGATGCTTTTATTTTCACTTTAATGTCATAATAGTGAAGTTACCAAAGTTGCTCGTAACTGTAGCTAAGTCACTGGTCTGATGTTATGTTAATAAGGTAGTGTCACTAGTGTGCAGTGTTAACATCATCTTACGATCTTACGATCTGACGATCGCTCGCGTCACCTGTTTTCACACGACAGGTTCTGGCGGCAGCTCGCCACACAGCCGAGCGGGGAGCGACAGGGAAGCTTCCCATGCGGGATCTGCTTCCCCCGCGGCGTCCCCGCACAGCGGAGGGTCGGGCGGCTCTCGCGTCGCGACCCCCGTGGGGTCGGACGCCTCACCGGGCTCGCCTCGCAGCCCCGCGGGATCGGACGACGGCGGATCGCGACCGGCATCCCCCGGGAGCGCGTCCGGGGATTCGCGTCCCGGCACGCCTCGCAGCGGGGTCGGATCTTCCGGCTCTCCCGCGATGGAGATTGACGAGGGAGCGAAGGACGGGTCCGGGGGATCGGCGCCCGGCTCACCGGCGCCCTCTGCATCACCGCAGGGTAAGTAGTCGGCCGGTGCGCGACGCCAGGGGGCGCTACCGAATGTAGCGGGGAGAATTTAACGTCGACGATACCCACGACGATGATTTCGATTCCTGTGATGGGGGGAATGTCGGAGATTCGTTGCCAGAAACGTCGTTAATAGTTATGAATTATCGTAAGTCTAAAATGTCACCGCTTTTACAGTGCACTTCACGTCAAAAGTTGTGCGATTTTAGCGTTGTGATGTCCTAGCTATATGTGCTGTTTCTGACGACAGGCCCCAGGTTTTGGTCGATGTCGATGTTTCTTACTAGACTGCAATTACTAGCTTCCGGCAAGTTTTAACAGCACGTGGCACGCGCGGGTAAATACGACGGCACGTTCAGAATAGAGTGCAATTTCCCGCCCGACGAACACTAACAACAAGTGATCGTTCTCTTCCAGCGGGCTCGCCTAGGAGTCGATCGGGCTCAGAAGCCAGATCGGTTAGAAGTCGCTCCGGCTCAGAAGCTGGCTCGCCCGACCGCGCGGCACGCTCTAGATCGCGGTCAAGGTCGGGGTCAAGGTCGAGGTCTGGGTCACGATCGAGGTCAGGGTCACGGTCTGGATCGGCGTCGCCCGTCGCAGCGCAGCCGTCACCGCTGTCAGGAGCCGAGAGCGGCGGAGAGTCACCGAGTACGTATATGATGATGATGATGATGATGATGATGGTGATGGTGATGGTGATGATGATGATGATGATGGTGATGGTGTTGGTGATGGCGATGGTCTATGGCAATATGTATCATTATCTGTGGATATCTATATGTGGATATATCTTCTCTGATGATTGTTGTGTTCGTGGATGATACCCATCATGTATTATTAATGATCTGTATTTAAAGGTGTGGTCATCAAGAAAAAGAAGCAGCAGCTGTTTGGCAGCGACAGTGACGAAGATGCAAATAAGGAAGAAAAGGGTAAGCACTCGTTAAGTTTTTTTGGAGGTTGTGCAAATTGTGCATGATGATGCACTTGAATTGACAGTTACTGCGAGCAAAGGTGTGATAAAACCTGCGCATTTCATCGTCGATCGCTCCCACGCTTTCACGTCTGTTGTCGCACTGCATACGAAACCTGGGAGAGTACAGATGCGTTGACGTGTTACCATGGTTACAGAAGGCGCGAAACAAGATGACATGTTCGGCGACGTCGGAGACATCAGCTCTGAGGATGAGACGCAAGGAAAGCCAACAGAAGAGCAGCCGATGGTATGAGTCAGATCAACATAGCTGTCGCATAGCAAACACGATTAGTAATTAGATTAGTGATTAGATAGATTAGTAACAACTGATAAGTGATAATCCTATTAGTGGATACATAATTTTCGTGAACAATAGGTTGGGATTAGGACTCCTGGGTGCCGTTCAATTGGATTCGTTACCATTGGTCGTTGGCAAAGATAGTTGACGCCACATTATCAGTGAGTTGATATGTTCACGGTGTCATGATGTTCGTGACTTTCTGATGCGTTGATATGGTCACGGTGTCGTGTTGTTTGTGGCATTATGATGCGATGATATGTTCATGAGGTTATGTTGTTTGTGGCTTTCTAGCGCGTTGCTATGTTCATGAGGTCGTGTTGTTTCCAGGACAATCCCTACCAGCTTGAGGAGGAACCTGCAGAACCAGAGGAGGAGAAGGAAACACAGATAGAGGTGGAGATGCCAAAGATCTCCCAGGACCTCGGCAACCAGATGCACTTTGTCAAGATGCCCAACTTCCTGAGCATAGAAGTGAGGTATGATGGCCCCCCGGCGTGACTCTGCATGAGAGAGGGAGAGAGAGAGAGAGAGAGGGGCGGGGGAGATAGATAGAGAAAGGGAGAGTGAGAGAGACGGGGGAGGTAGATAGAGAAAGAGAGAGCGAGAGCGAGAGAGAGAGAGAGAGAGAGAGAGAGACGGGGGAGATAGATAGAGAAAGGGAGAGTGAGAGAGACGGGGGAGATAGATAGAGAGAGAGAGAGAGAGAGAGAGAGAGAGAGAGAGAGAGAGAGAGAGAGAGAGATAGAGGGGGAGAAGGAGAGAGAGTCCGAGAAAAAGAGAATGTGAGAGAGAAACAGATAAAACAAGAGGTAAAGATAGAGAGAGGGGGAGGTGGGGTCTCTGTTTCATCTACCCAAGTGATCTTACATGTTTGGTGTTGTTACCCACTGGATATATTTACATGCTTGGTGTTATGCACTCAATACTAGCCGATTGATCTCACCTTCCAATCGATGTTACAGGCCATTTGATCCGTCAACGTATGAGGACGAGATTGATGAGGATGAAGTGCTAGACGAGGAAGGCAGAGCCCGTCTCAAACTCAAGGTTCCGTATATATCCCCGTAGATAATGTTAGATCGACTTGCAGGTCTGCTGCTCTGGACTTAACACACTGTCCACATTCCACCATCACAGACCTAGCAGCGGAAACCATCCTGCTGATGATCAAATCTGGAACAAACTCGATAATGAGACAATTAACCTCCCTCTACGTTTGTCAAAAAGAAGAGTGACCCAGACCCTGAGCCTGTTTATCTTTACCCCGGGGGAAATGTTTTCGGGCTCAGTGGTCGTCGACAAAAATACATGCGCTTCAGCTGGGGTTCCTACTCTCCTACCACTACTATACTACTACGCTTCTACTTCCTATGTTCTTGATGGGTTGCTACTCTGTGTGAGTGTTGCCTGCTCTGTGCCGCGCCTGGCTGTCTGAAGCATCATTAATGATTACTGCTCATTAATCTGTTAGCATGACTCAACTGTTAAAATGTCATCTCGTCAAATCTTGAGCGAATAAGTTATCGCTAGTGATCGACGAAAGTGCAACAGCTTGACAAAAAGTGCCATTGTACGTTGTGTAGGCATTGCGTCAATGCGGATGTACGTTAATGTGCGTGTGTTGTCATGGCAGGTGGAGAACACGATTCGTTGGAGAAACGGCACGGATGCTGATGGCAACACCGTCAAGCAGAGCAACACCAGAGTCGTGCGCTGGTCGGATGGAAGGTGAGTGATCGTCTGATGTCACGCACGCGTTTAAAAAACCCTGCTCTTGGGTCTTGTACGGCATTCCGGACATGAAACATGCTTGATGCTTGCACTGCATTAACGAGAAAAAATTCGCTTGGCGCTTTCATGACATTTAGGAGAGAAATTACGCTTGGCACTTTCGCAACATTTACGAGAAAAAATGCGTGTAGCGCTTTTTCGACGTTTGCGAGAAAAGAAAACATGCATGGTACTTTTGCAACGTTTACGAGAAACGTGAATTGTTATGGCAGCTAAAAATCTTTGCTACGAGATGACACGATGCTGCATTCTCGTTGGCGGAGCAGTGAGGTGTGCACCCTCACCTGCCGTCTCTCCCTCAGGCTGTCGTCTCTCCTCACCTGCCGTCTCTCCTCAGCCTGTCGTCTCTCCTCACCTGTCTCTCTCTCACCTGTCGTCCTCCTCACTGTCGTCTACTCGTGCACCTGTACGTCTCTCTCACTGTCGTCTCTCCTGCACCTGTCGTCTCTCCTCACACTGTCGTCTGCTCCTGCTCTCGTTGTATTTATTTTCTTATTTGTTTTTTTATTTTTTTATTTTCACACCTGTGTGCTCTCCTCCACCTGTCGTCTCTCTCACCTGTCGTCTCTCCTGCACCTGTCGTCTCTCCTCACCTGCCGTCTCTGCGCTCACATGCCGTCTCTCCTGTCTCTCCATCAACCTGTCGTCTCCTCCATCACCTGCGTCTCTCCTCACTGTCGTCTCTCGCTCACGCTGCCGTCATCTCCTCACCTGCGCGTCTCTCGCTCGACCTGCCGCTGCTCTTTTCACCTGCCGTCTCTCCTGTCTCTCCTCACCTGCCGTCTTTTCCTCACCGCTGTCAGTTCTCCATACTGTCGTCTCTCCTGTCTCTCCTCACCTGTCGTCTCTCCTCACCTGTCCATCTCTCCTGTCACTGCCCCCCCGCCCCCCGCCCTTCCTCCACCTGTCGTCTCTCCTCACCTGTCGCTCTCGCTCCACCTGTCGTCTCTCCCTCACCTGTCGTCTCTCCTCACCTGGCCGTCTCTCCTCACGCTGCCGTCTCTCCTCACCTGTCGTGGCTTTCGCTCACCATGCCGTCTCTCTCACCGTGCGTCTCTCCTCACGCTGCCGCTCTCCTCCAGCTGTCGTCTGCTCTCACCTGTCGTCTCTCCTCACTGTCGTCTCTGCCTCCGCTGCCGTCTCTCCTCACCTGTCGTCTCTCGCTCACTGTGCAGTTCTCTCCTCACCTGTCGTCTCTCCTCACCTGTCGTCTCTCCTGTCTCCTCACCTGCCGTCTCTCCTCACCTGTCGTCTCTCCTCACCTGTCGTCTCTCCTCACCTGCCGTCTGCTCCTTCGCACCTGTCGTCTCTCCCACCTGGCCGTCTCTCCTTACCGCCGTCTCTCCTCAACGCTGCGTCTCCTCCTGCACCTGCCGTCCTCTGCCTCCTGCCGTTCTCTCGCTCACCTGTCGTACTTCTCCTCACCTAGTCGTCTCTCCTCACCTGTCGTCTCTCGCTCACCCTGCGCGTCTCTCCTACCTGACGTCTCTCCTTACCTGTCGTCTCTCCTGTCTCTCCTCACCTGTCGTCTCCTCACCTGTCATCTCTCTTCACCTGTCATCTCTCCTCACCTGTCGTCTCTCGCTCTACTGCCGTCTTCACCTGCCGTCTCTCCTCACCTGCCGTCTCTCCTCAGCCTGCCGTCTCTCCTCACCTGCCGTCTCTCCTCACCTCGTGCTCTCCGTCACACTGCCCGTCTCTCCTCACCTGTTGTCCTCTTCCTCACCTGCCGTCTCTCTGTCACCTTGCCGTCTCTGCCTTCACTGTTGCAGCATGTCCTTGCACCTGGGCTCGGAGGTGTTTGACATTCACAAGACATTCATCCAAGGTGACCACCATCACCTGTTTGTGCGGCAGGGCACCGGTCTCCAGGGCCAGGGAGTCTTCAAGACCAAGCTTACATTCAGGTACGCTAAAAGTTGACACTGTCATATTGATACTGCATCTTGGCCTACTGGCTATCTTCACGACTGCTACTTGGTCCTGCTATCATTTGGGTTTTTTTTTTTTTGGTGGGTTTGGGGGTTTTTTTTTTTTTTTTTTTTTTTTTTTTTTTTTTTTTTTTTTTTTTGTTTTTTGGGGGTTGGGGTAAGGCTGCTATCTTGGTACTGCTATCTTGGTAGCTGCTATGCTTGGTACTGCTATCTTCCCACTGCCTATCTTGGTACTGCTATCTTGTACTGCTATTCTTGGTAAGCTGCTATCATTCACAACTGCTATCTTGGTACTGCTAATCTTGGTACTGCTAATCTTTCAACAGCTGCTATCTTGGTACTGCTAAAATCTTGGTACTGCTATCCTTGGGTACTGCTATCTTCACACTGCTATCTTTGGTACTCGCTATCTCACACTGCTATCTTGGTACGGCTATCTTGTACTGCTATTCTTGGTCAAGCTGCTATCTTGACACTGCTATATTGGCAACACAATCTTGTCACAATCATCTTGACATTGCAATCTTGTCACTGCAATCTTAGCGATGAAAAGCGATGTCATGTGTCCATCGTGGAAGTGACATCTCATATCGCGTCATTGCCCCTGGGGGCAATGGATCGTTGACGAGCTCTGCCTTTGCCCACATTTCGGCATGGTCATGCAATTGTTGTCTGCTTTCATGTATGGCGGGTTGCCAAGTCAAACCGAATTAAAACGATTAATCGATATAAATAATGGATCGTCGTCGATCGTCGAATACTGCGTGCTTCACTGAACGACTCAGCGCAGCTGGAAATGTTATAACTCCGCGGGTTTCATCAGACGACTCCGTGTAATTACCTCCGCAAAAGGAGGTTAGTATTTTTACCGCCTGGTAGTTCGTTTGTGTGTTTGTTGTTTTGGTTTGTCTGTCAACAGGATATCTCAAAAGTTACGGACGGATTTTGATGAAATATTTTTGGATGGGTTGGTCTTGAGCCAACAACAATTCAATTAGATTTTGGTGGTGATCTGGATCCAGATCTGGACCAGGATTTAAAATGAAATTGTTGTTGTTGTGGGGAAGACTTCGAACGCATTCAAAATCCTATCAAAAAAAATCCTGGATCTTTTTTTTGTCATATTCTGATCGATTTCATCCAAACTTATATTGGGTGTTACGCAGCAAGCTAGGGGGGGATTTCTGTTACGCTCTTCTACATTGCTCTTGTTTTGTCGTGTAACCTGCGTTTTTGTTTCAGGCCACACTCCGACGCGACAGCGGCGACTCACAAGAAGATGACGCTGTTCTCTTGGCTCGACCGCTACTCAAGACGCAGAAAATCAAGATTGTTCCGATTTCTGGACTCGATCCTGAAGTCACAATGCGCAACGAGATGATCAAGGTCTGCGCATTCGCAGCCGCATTGTTTGCAGCGGATGCAGCGGGAGGCATGTTAGAATCTGTCATCAGCACGTGGCAACGTACAGGCCGCGTAAAGTGCAGCCGCGTGCGTGCAGCCGGCGTGCGTGCAGCCCGCGTACGTATATGCGTGCGTGCAGCCGCGTACGTGCATGCACATGGCGTGTTCATGCGTGCGTGCGCATGTCATGGCGTATTGGGCGTACGTTCATCCGCGTGGGCATGTCAGCCGGGAGAAGGACGGCGTAGAAGGGAGGCGATAGAAGGGAGGCAACAAGAGGCGATAGCAGGGAGGCAACAGGGAGGCGATAGAAGGGAGGCAACAAGGGAGGCGATAGAAGGGAGGCGATAGAAGGGAGGCAACAAGGGAGGCGATAGAAGGGAGGCAACAGAAGGGAGGCGATAGAAGGGAGGCGATAGAAGGGAGGCACACAGGGAAAGGCGACTAGACAGGGAGGCAACAAGGGAGGCGATAGAAGGGATGCGATAGGAAGGGAGCACACAGGGGGCGATAGAAAGGGAGGCAACAAGGAGGCGATAGAAGGGAGGCGATAGAAGGGAGGCAACAGAGGGAGGGCGATAGAGAGGGCAGGCAAGCAAAGGAGGCGATAGAAGGGAGGGCAACAAGGGAGGCGATAAGAAGGGAGGCAACAAGGAGGATAGAAGGGAGGCAACAAGGGAGCGATAGAAGGGAGGCGAATAGAAGGGAGGCGATAGAAGGGAGGGCAACAAGGGAGTGCGATCATGAAGGGAGGCGATAGAAGGAGGCAATAGATAGGGAGGCAACAAGGGAGGCGACTAGAAGGGATGGCAACTAGAAGGGAGGCGATAGAAGGGAGCAACCAGAAGCGGAGGCGATTAGAAGGGGAGGCAACAAGGGAGCGCGATAGAAGCGAAGGCACAAGGGAGCGATAGAAGGGAGGCAACAAGGGAGGCGATAGAAGGGAGGCAACAAGGGAGGCGATAGAAGGGAGGCAACAAGGGAGGCGATAGAAGGGAGGCAACAAGGGAGGCGATAGAAGGGAGGCAAACA